CTTACCCCGTGTTGAGATTGCGCTGGAACCCCCATTCCCTATACTACTTACAATATTCATTTGATTGTTATTTATGGACAACTGTCTTTATATTTGATGTAAACTACGGCATTTCCGTCGTGTGTTTTGATACAGTAATCCATTAAGCGCCACAGTTCAGCATCTGTTAAGCCAGTAATCTCCATATTTCCGCCTTTAATATTTCACATTGTTATTCCTTTCCATGTTTTATGATGTACAAAAAAATCTACATCTGGTGAGTCTTTCCTTGACCATTCGTGCAGGCAGCCACCGGAATATGAAGTCATAATTTAGACTTTTTGCCGTATTTTATAAGTCACAATCAAGGCGCGGCCCGGGGCGAAAACTTATTGAAAATCGGCTAAGTACCGCTGGAAGGCCCGAACGCAAATAAAATCAGTAAATCGCGAGTTCAAAAACTAAAGCGCGCGCAAAGATGGGTTTCATTTTGAAGTGTGTCCGCGAGAAAAAAATATATATAAAAGCACAGTTAATAGCCTACATATCCTCAGGCCTCTTGGTGCGTAAACTATTAAAACTCCAATTTCCTGCGAGTCTCTTGCAATCAGAACACTCAGTGAAAGACGTAAACCAGGACACCACAAACATTTTTGATTTTTGATGTAGTCTCATAAGAAAGACTGTGTTTTCACTAGGACAATTTAAACTAGCTTAAATATAACACCGGAAATAAGGCAAAGCTAAACTACCTAGCAAGATGGTTTAAGTTGTCCTACCAAATAAATGGGCCAATTCTTGATAGGTGGTTGTCAGATTAAAACACCTCCAGGAATTTTAGGCAAGTTAACATTTCGGTGAAAACACAGCCAAATTCACTTGGATATTTCAATATGCTACGCTTCTTAATCAGTATTTCTAGTTATAAGCCTTAGTAGAATTAATAAATGGTATTTTTAATGGAGAACGGGAGGATTACTGACTTATATTTATAGCAGCTTTGGTTTGAAAAATTACTCCAAAAAGAAGAGCTTTCGTAAGAAATTATTTTTTTCAGAAAATTCAAGACGTGTGAAGTGTTTCGAGAATCGGGTACTCGAGAATTCGAGTAGTTTAATACGATACTGTAAAAAATAATCAACAGGACTGACCCATACAACAACCAACACCACCAGCATTACTGCAGGTGTAAATCCCAAGTTTTCAATTTCCTAATTTGCAATATTTTTTTAACTGTGCGCAACGCAATGATTTAAAACAAATTCGACGTCTCTTTATTAACTGACAGAATAATCGTCCAAAATCTATATTTTCATCATCATTAGATAGTTTGTGGTTTACTTAGGCCAAAGGTCTAAACGGTTCTTCACTTATGGTTTGTTTTTTGATTTCCATTACAAAGCGGTTGTACGTCTTTGATTGACAACTTGATCGACACCTTCGCAACCAACAGCATTGAAAAGGTTTATGAATTAGTTAAGCGACAGAGTTGTATGGTCGGGTTATTTTGCTCAGAGAGTTAACAGGGCAGCCTATCGGTCGTCATGAAACATGGCCACAAGTTCTAAAACGATCCGTGACTGCACCAGAACACCAAAATGTTCTATTCTACTTAGCAATGTACTTGGGATTTCACTTACTCCGTCTTCTCTAGATGTTACTGACCAGAACGGTACCACAAATGACCCAAATAAACCACAACAATATGCAGGGAAGGCTCTGTTCGATTCCTTCATAGAAGAGAACAAATCTACCTTACACACCAGACTCAACGAAAGCCTGTCAGAAATTCGCTTCGCAGGATGGATTCAGCCATTTACTCTTCTCGCTAAAGGTCCGCTTGAAGACTTGGAGGTTATAAAAGAAGCATGGCGGAGACGATTCCTACGGAGCCCGAAAGAGTTCAATATACGCGAGCTCGGTAAGTAATTCACTGTTTTGACTCCATGTGCTAACCGGTGAATGAGCTGAAATCACCGTTAGATCTTCATGCATTAGTCCGCCATGCTCATCGTATTCAAAGTGATGATGAGTTTGACAAACTAACCCACAGGGGTTGTTGATTTCACTCATCATTCCTATTAATCGCTAGCGTTGATCAACTTTTCACTAAATGCTTTATAAACGTCACATTATTTTATTCCGTACTTTATCATCAAAACATACGTGTAATATTCTCATTTTAAATTTTCAACAGAGATAGCTCCTACTAGCAATTTACTTAAAGCAAGGGGTTTATTTTTCTTTCTAAAGTAGCTCATGATAATCAAAGTTGATTTTGGTTGACGGCTTGTCGAGTTTGAATCGTGCGGTAAATTTCAAATGAGTTTACTGTTTTGCTGAAGTGGATTATCTGTGAGCCTCGATATATCAGCGATTCTCAGATCTGTAAAAAAATTAGTCAACTGAACCTCGTACAGGAGCTAGATATTTTTTGTTTAGTTGTAAAGTAATCAAAAACATCAAACAGAACGTTCTGGTGATGTTGTTGACCTTGCGGCGCTATTTATCTTGTATTTCGCTTCTCCGTCCAGTGAATATCCACCATCTAATTATTCAAGTGAAAATTTGATTTTACTTGTACATCCACGTTTTATAGCTAAGTATATTATTTCGTATAGCCATGCTATTAAGTTTATTGGGGTATCACCTCAAGAACAGCTGATACCACGAAAGAACAACCTTTAGCTTCAAGGAGGTTTGTTTACGGTTCGTGTTTCGTGAGGAAGCGTGGCCCAACACTATCTACTGTGTTCAACCATTCTTCTTTTATTAGCGTTCATTTACATATCCTGCTTATGATACTACAAAGCTCTCTTCTCTGTTTATAAATCCTACTTATACGTTTCTTTTCTATAACTGTAAACGATACTTTGAAGTTTCTATATTTACATAATACTATCTTTCCAAAAGGCCATTTGCTTTCCATTCTGTGTTGCTGTGTGTTTTGTAAAATACCGATCGATTGGTATTTATTCCGGTAAAACCACTGAGCCTGACTTAAAAATTCTTTACTAAAAACTCTTCTCATTGCCTTGTTTTCGTTGATTTTTTTTTCGCCACGAGGTTGTTGTTTCTATCATAAAACAAAGCGCTAAAAAGACGTGTGTTATGGCGGACAGTATAGACATCCGCAGAAACCTATTGAGTGTTACAATAAATAAATTTAAATGAGCCAAAATTCCGACCAATTTTTTTGTTGAATTTCGACAAAAAAATTTTAAGTTGCGAGTAAATTCTTCTCTTTCTTTGTATAAAATTAAAATATTTATTTATTTATTTATTTAAAAAATCATTTTATTTTTTCCGACACTTGTCTCTTAGTTTGAATTTTTTTAATAATTTTTTTTTATCTAAAAGAGCTTAAGGTGCAATGGTGCTTATGATTTTGGACAAAGAATGACGTACTGCTCATTCAAGTACTGCATTCCTGTAAACAAAACCTTCTTTGTATTAAGATGTTTTTATAATTATACTTTGGTATATACATGCATTTTTTAATCAAATGCATCTGTTCTTGCAAATTAAGCTGTGATCAAATTATACGGATTTTGCACACTATGTGGTCGTTCCTGTTGCGATACGACCTCGAAATTATTTAAAATATTTCCATAACCTTAAACCCGTCTCTTTTAAAAGTTTTTTCTCTCTCTTTATCAAGCTACTATGTACTAAATTTGAATGTATATTTTCACTGAAAATCCTGACTTCAATAGAATATTTTTCCAGAAAATTCTTTATAAAAAAAGAAAATGTTAGATGTTGTTTCGGTATTGTGACAGAAGATGTCTTATCTATACGTGTGGGTGATTGTATGGGTATTGACTCTTTCATGCATCAGCACTGCAGTAGCTGTACTCCTATGCAACACGTCACGCAGAGATATATATAACTTTGCATACAGTCTTTTGAGCTCAATTCATCCATTTGCAACATAATAGGATTCAGTCTTTGAGATTTGTTCTCATAGCATTGTTTTTCAGCAGCTCTCGACTTTGTTTCGCTATTCTTTGTGGGAATGATTAGAAATGATTGGGCCACGATAATATGTCCTAAAAGAAGAAAGATTAGAGTAGTTAAATAAGTGTTTGCGTGATAATAAAGGCACAGCAGTCGAGCATGCACGCCACAATGATGGGGTGTTAACATTTTAATCAAGTATTTACGCAATAATTTCTCTATAACAATATAACGTCATTTCGGGAAGATTGCAGATTCTAAATGGAAATATCACAGACACCTTTTATCAAAGCAGACGATAGCTATCTGTGTCTGTCCAAGATCGATATTCTTCTTTTGAGGGCCTGAGAGTTATCAGTTTACCCTCTGAAAATAAAGCCTTTTTTTTCCTTCAAGATTTTTCGAGACGATACTATTAATAGTTTAGGTGCCCTAAAGAGTTGATGGTTCAGTGGCCCTGCACTACTTGTAGACTGGCAGTTTTCGTATGACTGTGAAAAGCTATCGGCACGAGCACGGTCTTACCGTCCGCGCACGCGCAGACGCGGTAACGATACTGCCAGACCAATCACATTGCGTGAGAAAAAAATAGCCACTCGAAATACTAGAAAGCGTCTGCATCACGGGAAGGTCACGGTAAGGCACTAATACACCACCGATATTTTCCCAGTCATACGAAAACTGCTCTATACACTACGTGAAAGTAAAATCTCCCGCCCTGTCCCGGGGATCGGGGGGCAGCTAGTGTATAATTACCCATAAAAGAAGACCAAACACACAGGAAACTTTATACGTTTTCCGTCATCTTTGTTTTGTTTTGCCCCCTGGCAAATTAGCCGCCGTATCGTCGAAGTAGTCTATTGACAGTCTGCCTGTACGATAGACACATTACTATAAGGCAAGTGTAGTAATATTTCTTTGAGATTAAATTTACGTTGTATTTCTTTCAGGAATGATCAAGTCTGTCGACACGGAGATCGTCCAACAGGCACCATTTTTACCTCTGACAAAAGCTGTTTACGAAGCAATAGCAGCATTGAACAAAAACAACCTCCCAAGTAGCCAACAACATGTGTTTGAGTACCTCGCACATACGTACCAGTACGTGCACGTGCCTAAACCGAACGTCATACGAGATTCCCTCGGAATACTGTTCAAGGAAGGCAAAGTCTATTCGTCGGGAAATGATTACTTTGTGCTGGTAGACAGCCAAAGTGACATCTCTGAAGACAACAAGAAGGAAAAGAAAACGACATCTGTGAAAGAAAAGACACCGCATGAAAAACATGTCCCGTGTGTTGTTTGCGAATCTACCAATCATAAACTGAATTCTACGCATGCGCAAAAAGTACAAACTTCCAAAGGGAAAGAGCATGCGCCTTTGTGTGAGAAGCATAAAAGAGGAGAGAAAAAGACCAATAATAAGGGGAGTTCTTCAAAGGAGAGTAACTCGCTAATTAGCAAGGAATATAAAGACTTGAAATCCGATAAGAAAGAAAAGAGAACTAATACTTCTTCTAGAAGTGAAAATCATTCAAAAAAGATGAATGACAAGACTCCAAAAAAGAGTGTTTGGGGACAAATAGCTTGCTTTATTAGAGGCAAACATGGTGGAGCAGCCTCAGAAACAGGTCCACATCAAAAACCTGATAGTATGAATGATAAAAATGTCGAGTCTGCGGTGCCAGGGAGCGATGCCATACCTATAGACCAACCAGGATCTAGTGTTGATAAAATATTAGAATCAAAAGTCGAGCCAGATGAGAAAAGGAAAGCATTAGATTCAGCAAATGAAAGCCAGGGCGAAAACCCTGCACAAATCCAAAGGAGTAATTCTTTTGCTGCCCGCAACAAAAAACGTCCCAATCTGGTCCGAAGTAATACGTTTACTGCAGGCAGTAGCAACAAGGCGCCAAGACCAGTTGATTATGATATTATTACATCGAGAATAGATGAACAGAGTACAGGAATTTCAACACCCAACCAGCACCTTACACGACCTTTGTCGAGGGAATACGCTAAGAAATCTTCACTATCTGAGAAAGCCATATATTTCAATACTAGTGATTTTGTCAGGCAAAGCACACCTGTCAAAGATGCTGAAAAAATCACTTCTAAAAACAACGTTTTGCCACAAAAGCCCGATTCGTTTAGAGAAAGAAATAGCACAAATAAAATTAGAGAAGCAGAAAGATTTCCCCCTACGAACCAAGCTAAACTTGACTATCCAAGAGACAGAAACAACGCATGCGCAGTAGGCATCGTAAGGCCGTGGAGCTCGCATGCGCAGACTACACGTCTAGACAGTAGACCAGTATCGAGAACTAACTCCATGAAAGAAACACGTCAATTTTCGCTGTCTGCGTCTTGTACTCCAACTGGTGACGCTAATAAACCCGCATTACGTGAGAACAGAGATATCAAGCGGAGCCTTTCGTTGAGGGAGAATAGAAAATCTGACTGCACCCCACAGGCGTTACAACGATATGCTGGTAGCGAGAATCGCGACTTTTACATCGGTGAATCACCACTCAAGCAACTTCTGACTAAGAATACGGGGAATACACTTCCTGTGTCACCTAGCCATCCAAACTACATCCCAGCAATACAAGACCGATCTAGAAACTCCACACCTAACAGAAATTCATTCCCGTCGGCAAATAGTTCATTGAAGAGGAATTCCTGGCACGAGGCGTCGCTCAATGAATGTGATGAAAATTATAGTCACGCGTCTTCTCAGAGGACGGGATTTTCATACCAAGACGAGAAGCCGACAAAACGACATGATGTGTTTTCCTTTGATTACATGAACAGGAATCATTTCAGCAAAGGCATGATTCCCTGCGATTGCAGTGACGCTGGTTATAGTGAGAATTACGAACGAAGATCGGCATCCAGCGATCCGTACTACAATACCCCTTCCAGTGTTCACAAAGACGAACGTTCATCGATTTACTCTAACAGTGACTATGGGATTTTATTGGATGAGGTATCATCTTCGGGTTCTTCCGAGATTCAATCGATTATGAATCAGGAAAAAAAGCTAGATAACAAAACAATGACTCCTTATACTGTCGCGAAAGGAGAAGTTGTGCTGGATTCTAGTCTTACATTTATTGGAATTATTTAAAACGTTCATACACTCTTATTACTATAATCTTGAAAGAATTTATTTTTTTGGGTATAGAGCTTAAAAGCGAGTAAAATTTAAAATGTCAAATCAACCAATTTCGATTATATTTATCAGGTCAACTTAACAAAAGTGTTCGTAATCTATATGTGGCTCAACATATAACTGTTATGCTTCCCTAGAATAAAGCTTGAATTGCCGTCTGACACAACCGCAATCCAAAAAAACAAGAAGTGCACAATCTATTTGTTTAAGTCACTAAAATGTATTAAAGGTTTCTTCACGGTGGTTAATTTTTAAACAATCTTATTACCTAGCCTGCGTACAGACGTTGCCCTACCCCTCCCTCTGCGGGAGAAAACGGTGAAGGGAACTCGTTCCTTGAGCTCCAGCTTTTTATATTTTCTAAAGAGCAATTGCTTTTTTTATTTATGTATTCACTTATTATAGAAGCAAGACATATATTTATTCAGCAATAAAAGAAACTATTTCCCAATCCATGACCAAAATGTTCGTGAGCGTCTAATTCGCTGAGCTTAGTATTTTGTGCTGTTAGATTAAAAAAATGAAAGTTCCGTTCAGCCGTTAAATGATTCCCAGACTCAGCTGCAAGCTCATTTTGTGCCTTTAATTATGTTTCTACGTTATTATCAATTATTATCATTATCAATATAGTAACGTTTTCACATTTTAAGGATATTTATGGCAATAAAGAAGTTTCTATTTTCAGGTTTTCCTTTTCCCTTCCTAGAGGCTCCCAACTCCATCATCAAATGTAAATTTCCCAGTGAAAAGGGTAAGTATTTTCCATTTGTAATGGCCCATACTCAGGGTTCGTACAGCCTTGAAAAGTCCTTGATCTTTGATCTAGGTCCTTGAAAAGTCCTTGATTACGAATTTTCCTTGAAAAGTCCTTGAATTTGGAGCAAAAGTCCTTGAAAATGTTAATTTTAGTCCTTGAATCAGTCTTGGTTAATGTGAAATAATGTTTTAGGGATCAAAATTAATGAGTCAAGTTTTTTGGAGCAAAATGAAAATAATTCAGTCGATTAACGTAATTTCCTTTTTTATTTTGGGCTTGATGTAACTGTTTTCTGTTTGTTGTTGATCTTGTGTCCTTGAAAATTAAATATTAGTCCAAAAGAAGTCCTTAAATTTTGTATTACAAAATCTGTACGAACCCTGATATTTAATACAAGTAAAGCAAAATTCGGACGAGCCCCCCACTCCCCCGTATTTTTGGCTGGATCCGCCCCTACATTAGTTCACAGTCACTGAGAATAAATCTTCGGATGAAATAGTGATATCTAAAATATAGTTCAAATAAATAAATTAAAAAATTAGTAGCATTGTAAATTAGACGACCCTCTGTAAAGAAAAAATTTTTTTTTGTATTGTTGTCAAGTAAGAATTATAAATGTTGTAAAAAATATTGTAAAAAATAAATAAATAAAAAATTAGATGTAAAAAAAAAAAAAAAAATCTTATTTTTGCCCACCAGCAGTTCCTAGTTTTAATAAATATTAAATTTTCAATCAAGCTTGATTGTTGAGCTAAGGTGAGCCATCACTAAGTGTCTCTGTGCGTCACGCACTGTATGATTTGAATTACACATTTTACAAATGAATGATATTGCTCAAGTACATCATGTACGTGTACTTGAATCTTAGCTAGAGGGGGGGGGGGGGGAAGAAAAATTCAAAAACCTCTTACGCTAATCAAGTAAATTTTATTATATTCTGATGAACTGAAAGATGAGGACTTAATGAGGCGTCTTCCGCCCATATATCCTGTAGAACTGAGTTGAATAGCTTTAACAGACAATATTTTCAACTCGAGATCTGTGGACAATGCTATTAGATCCGAGAGTAACGTCACCCTTTTCCAATTAAGCTCTACACCTGTTACAGGCCTGAAAAGGAGTTTTTAACAGTCATCAGCTTGCACGACATTTGCATTCGGCTGATGGTACTGATCTCAGCAAGTCGGCCAACGGGATGTATAAATAATATCTAGCATTATTATCACCTGGTCAGTCTCTGGAGGAGCTTGCTTTGATCGGTTATAATTTTGATTTTAACTGAGTCTGCTGACACGTAACAGTAATGTTGAATGTTACCAGAAACACCGTAACTTCATCCTGGGGCGCCGAGAAGCTTACAGTATTTATCCTGTTTCTTTCCGTGATTGATGGACTGGCAATTCTTGGTAACACACTGGTAATATTAGTAATACTGTGGACGAAAAGTCTCCGACGAATGGAAGCCAACTCGTTCGTAATGAGTCTATCTATTGCCGATTTGCTCGTCGCGTTAACCATTGTACCCATAACAATTGCATCGCTGGTGAATCCACAAAATCACCCTTACGATAAGTTTAAGACTTTTCTTGGGGTCGGGAATTTTTTCTTTTGTATTTGTTCAATCATGAATCTAACTCTCTTATCACTGGACCGTTATTTTGCCATTACGTCTCCATATCGATACTTGGACTTTCTGACACACAAGAGAGCATGTTCCCTGTGTATCCTGATCTGGGTCTATTCGCTTGGATTTTCTCTACCGCCTGTTTTTGGGATCAGTTCGTACTCCTGTTTTATTCCTAATTTCGAGACTTGTAGAGAAGACGTTTGGCGATCTTCTGACACGTTAGTTTTTGCTCTTCTTGTTCTGGGATTCACGTATGGACTAAGCTTAGTGTCTATGAGTTACTGTTACTGGAAAATCTTCAAGGTTGCTCGCTCACATTCAAGGCGAATTGCAGCACAGCAATCGTTCAGAATATCTGTAAAAACCAAAAATCAATTTGTAGAGCAAAACGCACGGACGACGCAGAACCTAGCATTAGAAGTATCAAAAGCGGAAGAGATCAAGTCACAGAGTATCCAATCACATCAAAATGGACAAATCAATGGAAATGATACTGAAACAGCTGGTTTTCGTTGGGTTGAAAAATCCCTAATCGACATAGTCATAGCGCCATGGATAATTGGACCTAAGAGACCTATTAACACAAAGAATCCAGATTTCGAACATTCTCTCCACAGTTCAGCAGATTCTGACGGATCAAGTAAAAATTCTGACAAAAACTTCACCAAAAACGAAATGCGCGTAGCAAGAAGCTTTCTAATCGTCATAGGGCTATACGTTTTGTGCTGGACGCCATTTTGCTTGATCTTAGCGTTAGAAATTTTTCTAAGGCGTAAATTAAGTGAAGAAGCCAGTCTTATTTGTCTATGGATAGGCTACACTAATAGTTGCGTAAACCCTTTTATCTATACCTGGAAATATAGGCAGTTCAGATGTGCCTTAATTAGACTCTGGAGGAACTGTAAACTACTATTAAGAGAATAAACTGTACTAAACTTAATTGAGATACTGTACCTCGTAGTAAATACTCGCTATTGTAAATAGTGTAAAGACTAGCTACTGTATATGAAAGGGTTTTGAGTACTGTAGTGTATAAAGGGTTTGAGGAACTAATTAAATTACAAGGATCAGTAGTGGTAACTTGACTATGAAATGTTCAAATTGCTTCCAACAATCCTTATCAGGTCGTTCTGCCTTTCTTCGGTTACCTTTTCTTTTCTTTTTTTTTTTTTTTTTTTTTTTTTTTTTTTTTTTTTTTTTTGGTTTTTTAAATCATTGCTTGTGCACCTCCCTGCAAGATCCCTAGTTACGCCACTGAGTTGGTAGTAAAAACTGATCAATGGTCCAATTTTATTCGATGTGCACCGCCCTCCCTGTTAAAGTTCTGGTTACGGCCATGCTTATGACCATGTAGAGCTACTTATAATACAACGCTGAGCAAAAGAATGGAGCATTAGAGAATTTCTAAAACGAGATATGAGCGAACAAAGCTACCGATATTTTAGTGTAAATGTATGGCGAGAACTCGCTGGATCATATCTAGTATCATCCAACATGGCGGACAAAATTTCAAAAACAATAGTTTTATGACAAAAATTTATCAAATTCACTTCAGACATGTATGAATCTACTTTATCAACTAGTACAACACTAAAATTGTTTGATTTGGAAAAAATATCTTTATTTCTTTGGCTTTTCAGACACGTAATCAGCTTTAAAAAATAACATTCACACAAATCGGAAACGATTAAAAAATAACATTCACACAAATCGGAAACGAAACGATGAAACGATCTGAAATTTCCTACACTTATTCACATCATAGTTCCCTAAAACATATCAGGGAATCGAGTTTATAGCATTCATAATTAATTTTAAGTTGTTATTTTCTTGGTATATAACGTCCGGCGTGCACACGAAGAATCGGTTATAAAACACGATTCGCAGCCAAGTGTTTTTAGATCCGATAAAACACAATCTGCGATTTTATTAAACGGCTTAAAAAACTCATGATGTATGTTCTCATATTGTACCGGATTCTTTACGAAATGAACCAAGTTTGACAGAGAAAATCCAAGTTAAAGTTTATGCAAATGAAAACGAATCTGATAAAACCTCATGAATTCTATTGTTTCCTTCATGAATTATTAATGAGATCTTAAATAGAATTTTTAAAAAACTTTTTCATTTTTGCAATTTACTATTATGATATTATATGAAAACACAAATAAATTGGAAGTTTCGGCTGAAACTTTCTTTTCGCAAACCCAAGAAGATAAACATGAATAACGAACAAAAATATGATAAAAAAATAACAATGGGAGGTTCTTATATAGCGCATTTTGTATGTCTCAAAGCGCTTTACATAGTAATAATTTATGGATTTAAATGGACAGCCCCCGCAAATAAGAGACCTTAAACGTTCAAAATGGTCTTAACTCATTATCAATAATTCATGAAGTGATTACTTCTAACTCTGTTTGTGATGAATATTAAATGCAATATTAGCTGGCGACCTATTCAGATTAAACATAGTTAATATGGAATAAAATAACAGTCTGAAGTATCCGAATTGAAAAATGATATATATGAATGACGGCTATCTCTGTTAAACTGACTTTCTCAACGAGTGTGTTTTTAAGGATATTGCTTACTTTAATAAAAAGGTTCCGCTTACACTGATCACAGACAGCCAAAGGAAAATAATAACTCTTTATAACTCTTCTTGGCGATCGTTACATCTTCTTCTCTCTGAACCTTAATGCGATGGATTTTCTAAGTGAATTCAGCTTGAGAATCTGTCTTATATTGTACGAATTTTTAAATATATCGTTCTCTGGCTTTCGAGACGGTGAGCCCTCAGACCAATTTTTGTGCAATCAATTGTTGTCATTAGTTCAGAAAAATTATTTAAAGGTAAGTCAAATGTCGACAAAATGAAATGCGCACACGACTGGAGACGCTCCATAACTTTAATGTCAGCGGGGAGCTTGAGAAGCTTACAAACATGTATCAAATTACTACTTAATGCAAAAAGCTCCTAGAGGTTTGCGGAAGGGCATACTTGAAATTTAGAATAATTCTAATATTTTTCTCTATCTAAAATCATATTCTAATGAGGGATAGAAATGAGAATTAGACCTTGGTGTCAGCGCATAAAAAAAAGACGAGTCTGCAATTTCCTAAACAGCGGCTTGCCAAATGAGCACGTGACAACCAAAGTTTCTGGAATGCGAAAGAACAAAGTACCAAGAATATTCGCTAAAATATTGTATTCCTGGCCTCTTTTAAAATAATTCTCACTCTTTTGGAGTTCCCTGTATTAGTATTCTGTCCCTCGACGAAAGAACCAAGACTTGGGGTCAAACTTTTTGAAGAAAAATCTAGAAAACATCGCTATTTTACGTTCGTGTGGAAGAAGACGTCCAAAGAAAAATATTTCGAACTTTTCCATGAAGTCATCGTTTTACGACAGAGAAGACGAAGTGCTTGATAATGAAGAATCTAAACCGCCAATTACAGAGAAGACATTTAAGATTATTATTATTGGAGACAGCAACGTCGGAAAGACTTGTTTGGCGCATAGGTTTTGTACTGGAAGATTTCCTAATAGGACTGAGACTACGATAGGAGTCGACTTCTGGGAGAAACAAATACAGATTGGATCGGATACTGTTAAGGTTAGATAGTATTATTAATTTTTAGATATTAAATTGTATTTTATGAGAAAAAGACTAATGCTAAAATTTGTTATCGCTCCCCAAGAATTAATTATGTATTGATTAATATTAGTTTACAAAAACAAAATTCGAAAACATGCCAAAATATACCAATTTGTTTACATTTTATAACTGGATATTTATTGGGGGGAAACTTGGTAAACTTTCTCTGTAGTTTTGAAAATGGTTTTTTATTTTGTTTTGATTGTTAATGAAGACATATTATTTTTTAGATTTATAAATTTTGTTATTGCTTTTAAGCTTATTGCATGATATTTGCATAGATATATTTGGAGAAAGCTATTGAATATTCAGTCACAATGCCACATCATTATTTGATTCTTGAATTTTATATATATTTAGCAAGTGGAATTTCAGGTGGCCATATATTCAAGGCACATGTAGACTTATTGAACAAACAGCTCCAAATTCGGAGACTTGCACTTACATGTCACATGACCCCACTGTGCACAAAATAAATTTGAAACAAATAAGCTGATATAGAACATTGCAAGAAAAATTATGGAAATAATAACAGTGGTGGCAGGATAACAGAAAGGGGAAACTAAATTCCCATTCTAAGATTGTAAGTAGTTACATTATGTAGTCATGAAAAAGTAAAGAATTAAGATTTCCTTGTTGCCAAGAAGATATGCTAGCTGAGCATTTGGTACGAGGGATGTGGGGTGGGGCCACTAGTGAAACCACAGCAAGATTAGAGCATGTATAAGTGCTCAGACATTTTGTAGCCAAGTAGTCCAACCTCATACTCAGGCACAGTACCCATCCCTGAATTTTGACATTGGTACTTCACTAGCTGTGTTCAGGAACCAAATGTCAACACATTCTTAGAGCCAAGAATAGCGTTGCTATTTATATTACTTAATGGCTCGCAGCAGTACTATTATGATAATGATAATGATTTTCCATTACCTCATTCCTCCTAAAATAGTTTATCCTTGTTTTCCCATGTCATATACATCATTCACCTGAGGAAAGAATTACATTATAGTTGCTGCATGGCAAAAAATGAACTACTGAAGTATTTGAAATAATAAATAGGGAAGCATGGGTGGCGTAGGGGGTGGAGCAGTCGCCTCTCACTAATGGGACCAGGGTTCATGCTCTGCTGGGCTCATAGTTATACATGTATGTGAGTAGAGTTGTTTGTTGGTTCTCTCCTGTGCTTTGAAGGTTTTTTGCCGGGTTCTCCAGTTTTCCTCCCTCTACAAAAATCAACCTACAATTTGTTATTTTGATGTATTGGTTGCCTTGTAATTGGGTCCTAGACCTGTAAGGCTTTTTATCCACCTCAGATTGTTAAAGTTGAATAAATTTCAATATATAATTTTTTTTATGAACCTATGATATCAACAGCATTGATTTTACCTAAAGGTTAATTATCATAACTGATATAGTATTTCTTTTCCCAGATGCAATTATGGGATACTGCGGGCCAGGAAAGGTTTCGAAAAAGCATGGTATCCCATTATTATCGCAACGTAAGTGCAGTCGTTTTCATGTACGACATAACTCGCAAATCATCCTTCGAAGGAATGAGCAACTGGTTATATGAATATGGACAGTTCTCCGAAGCACCGGATGTACCCAGAATTCTGATTGGAAATAAATGTGATTTAGGGAACTTAAGAACTGTAAATTCAAATGAAGCTCGGAAGTTTGCTGATTCATATAACATGCCTTTGTGGGAGATATCAACCAAAAACAATGAGGAACTAGAAACCATAGACTCAATATTCCTCACATTAGCACATAAACTTGTGAAGGATAAACCTATTATGAAGAGAGGAGAAGGCTTGGCAGAAATCATTAGTGCTGATGGGGGAAAAACAAGCAAGCGGCATTCGTCAAAGAAAAGGTCAAAACGCATAAAACTGCAAGGAAAGGAAAAGCAGGATAAAAAGAAGTGTTGCGAATCACACTAATTATGAAATTACTTTGTACATACTTCTATTTAGACTCTGTAAAATTTAAATCTTAGTATTGCCATTTTATTTCATTCCAATTATTTACTAGACATTAATTATTGAAATTATTTGAAGGGACCAAGGTTCATTCTGTCATATTTGATTTGACTTGAGACTTTCACATTCATTATTTACTACATTGCAAAACCTTGAATGACTTCCATATAGTGTGTTCCTTGATTTTAACATGGCTAAGTTAGCTAAAAGCCAGTGCCTGCTGACAGCTTTGGGTAAAACAAAATAAATGTAACACCAATTTAAACCAATTTAGTTTTAATTCCAACCGAGAAAAAGTAGAAAACGATGAACACTATATTTCGGTTTATTTCAAAACCATCACCTGGGGAAATGTTTACAGACATTATTAGAGAAAAGCAGCAAGGCCATGGTGCGGTAGCTTTCTGTAGATTAGTATCGCAAATGTCCTTATATAACCATGCTTTTACTGAATTTCAAATGACTGTTTTAGCTTTGCAATATTGGTTCTCATTCATAACGTGTCATTCCCTAGAATATCATTTCTTTGTTTAATAGTTAAGCACGAGAAAACGAGGATTGCATGATAATAGACGACTTGCACTAATAGGTCACCCTACCTCCCTTAAAAGGAGCAGTCTTGTCAGAATGAAAAACAGAAATGAAAAGAGCATCTCAGCATTAGTAGGAAGGCGGAGTTTCAGCCCATAATAAGCGAAACAGGAGAAATGGCATTGGACATAAAATTGAATGTTTTACAAGGATTTGTATGGGGAAATGCACTGGATAGTAAAAGTTAACCAGCCAACACTTTTCCCTTGCAAATCCTTATTTAAAATATTTGATTTTATATTTAATGTCATTTATCCAATAGCCAATATTTCATGCTGAAGCTTCGCTGTCTTGCTAAAGTTGAGGTGCTCTTTCCATTTCATTTTGACTCATTTATTTGTTTTGAGAAGGATAGGGTCACGTGACCTGTTATTGCAAGTCGTCAATTTTGTTAATTATTCAGAAATTTATAGTAATAGTTATAGTATTAAAAGTATTTAAATTAAAAATAGAATAAAAATATCTAAATGAGTACATAAATAATTATTATGATTAAGTTTTAAGAATGTCCTAATGTCATTAATTAATCAAAGTTTTTATTTCTGCATAGTTTATATTTCAAATCAGTATGAGATTTATAAGTAGATTAAATGAATATTAATTTGTGCTAGTTATTATATTATCATTAATATTTAAAGTACAATAGTGTCTATAGCATCCGCATTGCACACTTACTGTTTACAGCCACTTCCCACTCTTCACCCCCACTGGGGGAAATGAGGAGGGAGCTCAATGCACACTAATGCGTCTTGAATTCCTCCCGAATAAGCTCAAGTCCATCTGCAAGGAAAATTAGTTTTCGATATGTTTTATTATCGTACGTTTGATTTTTTGTAGCCATGCCTCCAGACGTAGCACTGTAACACAATATGGCAGCGCGATGCATTTATATGTCTATGCCAGAGATTTTGGCCCCCCTACCGCTACCCGAAGACTTGCAGACCGGTCAGGAAACTATGCCAAAGCCAAACGGAGAGGTTAGTCGGTCCTTAGACCGTAGATGATTAATGCCATGACCAGTAGAACCCACCATTATTTCTCTTTGTCGTAACGCGTTTTGAAAAACTTACATTTGAAAGCTGGAAGAGAAAATGAATTGAGATATCACATTCCAGGGGCGGCAGAAGCTGAAAATCTTTGGAGGGGGAGGCACTGAAATATTATATTTAGCGCTATGTGATAATGACCGCTGTTTTGTTTGATTGCAGACGCATGCGCCAAAAAATTTCATGCGTTTCCCCCGGTTCCGCCGCCCCTGTATTCTTACATACAGGAAACAGTGATGGGCATAGCAGATGGATCAAAATTAGAATTTAGAATTCGATTTTTGGGGAGGGAGGGAAACGTAATTAGAATTTAGACATTAATTTTTTGTGGAGGGAGGAAAACTGGAGAATCTGGAGAAAAACCCTTGAGGCACAGGAGAGAACCAACAAGCACCTCGATCGGTACTCCGCACATATGACACCGAGACCGGGCATCGAACCCGGATCAACGCGCATTGCATTGGTGAGAGGCAGCTCCCGGGGAGGGGGGCATGAGCAGCGAATACCACCTGTGCTTCTCTAATTATTTGCCGGTTTTTGAATCAGGACTGTGGTCAACTAAAAGCACTACCGGAGCCACCTTAACTCTGTGCCGTGAACCGCAATCCCATTCTAGTTTGTCGTGGTTTTGGTTATGAGCCACCACAAATTATAGAAACCTGAAAGTGTAGTCAATATTTTGTACATCTGTACACAAACAGGAGCTGTTTATGCATCGATGCAAAGGGATGTACAATCATCAGTCTTAAACGGGGGGAAATCAGCTCTCAGTGCGATCGCCCCCTAAAACATGAGTTTTGTGCATTCATCAAAGTTACAAAAACATAACTATTCGAGTCACACACATATTCATGTGTAGGTAAGGATTCTGGCAGATTTAAAAAAAGACGTAACTTAATCGATTATATTTTTTCCAAAATCAGATATAAAACACTTTATACATGTAGCGCCAGAGAACTATGTGGAAAGCACCAGTTGAGGTGTTTACGCAGGAGAAGTAGATTATCTCCGCACGTTTTGTCGCGACCTCGGTGTTTGGCGCGTGACCGTTTAAGAAACCAGATAACTTGCTATCATTCACCACTAGTTTTATATACGTAATATTACATAAGTACAGGAGGTCAGTAATGTCAATTTTAAGGTTTTCTTTTACAAAACTGACTTCCAACTGAGTGTAGTTCCATAAATAAAGATTTTCCTCATTCTTTTGTTTTGAAAACAATTTTCATTTGGGTTGGTTTATTTGTATTGCAATTCTTCGAAACTCTGCCTTCAGTAGAGACAAGAAAATGCAGTGAAGGACCACTTAACCAGGTTAAGACATTTGTTTTTGCATGATTCGTAGACTCAATGTGTGTGCAAAGTTACTCGGCAACACCACGCATTTGTATTTAAAACTCGCTTTTTCAGAGATACTTAAATTAATAGTCCTAGTGTTATTAACCATGACTCCCTCTTCGATTGGGGGGTCCTACGTTACACCCTATGAGGGGTCCTCCAACTGTCTACCACAACTTTATACTTGTTTACTTCCCTCCTCCCGCCCAAGGAGCTGCCACTATTCTTCGGCCAGGGCTAGCTATCCACCCTTCGTACAACCGGGCCCAGATGGTTCAACTGTATATTACGTAAATGGGTCTCATGGTAGCACCCACGCAGACCCACTACACCCTACTGATCGAACCCACAGGTTCAAAATGACAGGAAACGGAAGCTGGTGTATTTGTTTTTACGAGTGCATTAGAGGGACATGCGCTAGCCAGCTTACGGCCAAAATATGAGCCAGTTTACCAGCATTTAATAGTAAAATCTTGTCATAACCATTTTTTATCCGATGTTAACAGCTTTTATAAATGAAGTGTGGAATAATTTGGAATTTTTTCCAAGTTCTTTATAGGATATATTACACACTACGTCATTGATTGATGCTGACACGGAATAGCGTCAAGCGCTAAACAACGACGTGTCTGAGGAGAATTTTAGCTTCAGTCATAATAATTCTCTATTATCAGACGTGCAAAACAACGATACGTAAATATAGTTTACACTAATTTAGCAACTTTTGTATTTTTCCACCGGCAGCATTTCCTACCGAAATAGCAGTCTTCAGTAAACTACCACATGATTAATTAATACACACGGAAGTGAAGGGATCAGCCAATCACGTTGGACTAAAACCACCATAAAAGGTCATAACAGGAAATGGGATTCCCTGGATGACGTGACGTCATTTCCTAATGTCAAACTCAGCTAGATCGTTCTCGTTGTCATAATAGTAATATTCTATATTTAACGAGGGTTTCCCATTTTCCAGGGAAGGTTGTTAACGAACTACGCTGAGGCACATCTCAGTTTAAGATTGAAAGTGTCTAAGACGACAGCAATAGAGACTTGGTTAAAAGATCGTCGGCCATTTGCAGTGGTTTTAGTACGTCAAATCAATCAAACGTGTGCGCTGTTATGGAGGACTATAGTTATCTCTTCAAGATTATCCTTGTTGGTGATGCAAATGTCGGTAAAACCTGCCTCGTTCGACAGTTTACAAAGGGATATTTTCCCCCAAACCAAGGTCCTACGATCGGTGTTGATTTTACAATAAAAACAGTCGAAGTTGATAACGAAAAAGTAAAGGTAAGAGACTAAAAAATATACATTTTTTTAAATTGTTTTTCTATTGAATTTTTGAGAACGTGCATTGCAGAAGCGTTCCTATCTTGTTGTTCTTCCGGCGGTCCATAATGATCACAGCTCGTTCATCAACTACTCGTTGTTAGGATAATTAAATGAGCTGTTTGAATCGAATGTTTTTATTTCGAATAAAGTCCAGAAAGAAGACGTGCATTATCCCTGTATAGAGCGTGGTTTGCGCGTGGATTTCTTCTTTTGTTCGTAACATTGTAAACATGTGTCAAAAATTCATGATTGCACCATGAATAATGAAAGTTTTATCCTGAAATAAGAATTAAAAAATCCTCTAAACTAAGTCTAAGATATTTTATTCTGCTCTTAACAATATATTTTTTAATGCAAAAAATTAAAGAAACAATAAAAAACAAGGGGGAAAAGTAAGAAAGAAACAAAACACAAACTTCGATCAAAATCTTTGGAAGGTCTTGTTTTTTTGCTCACTTTCGTAAATCTATAGGTTTTATATTTCAGTTTTCGTATTAAAAATGAATATTTTACAACAGATTTCTTTTCTTTTTGCCTAATGTTGTAAACAAGATGTAAGTAAGACATGCATCAAAATCTCATTAGAAAAATAAGTCTATTGCAGAAAAAATATTCACTGAGAAAATATGAACCTTAAAATTGTACCTTAGTCTCATTCTTATACTTTTGACACCTAACAAACAGAAGATATTCTTCCGTGAGAAGTTGAATCCATCTCATTGTATTTATCTCATGTATATGGATTTTCTTTCAAAATTAAGATGACCACAGTGGGGACTCATTTATATTTACCAATATCGTAGTAATTTAGGAAGTTTAAAGAAGGAAAAAACATGTTAAATATATTAAAGCATGGAACGCAAAAAAACAGATACTTGAAAGTTTAAAATATACAGTTTGCTTGCACCATAACATTAAACAACACAATAATGTATATTTAAATGTTACAGGATATTAAAAAAATTTGGAGAAATAAAAAAGTCTATATGTTACATTGCACTTTGCCTGAAGGCGGAAAAATGCTGAATGCATTACCAAAGTGGGAAGAATATATCTTGCTAAATTCACATTTAAGTATGCCAAAAATCAAAATATTTGATACTTAGTTTTCTTTTTTTGTATTATTCTTATTTTAATTTGTAAGTTTTGAAGAATTTTTAGAAAACAATCTTACAATTTAATATGACTTCATAAACCCAGGTTTAAGAAAACCTAGGCTAATGAATTAACTATGGCAGTTCTGCTTGGAGGGATTATATTTTATTTGGTGTTGTGCCAAGATGTATATAATAAACACCTTTTGATTTGAACTTTTATTCATGCATGCTCACATAACTGACCTAGCTGCCATCACTGCTGATTATCTTATATCATGGTGTGTTGATACTAAGGTGGAGATGTTAATTAATTTTTTAGATGGAGTTATTAGTTTTCTTAAGATGTTTACTAGATGTTAGTTCCACTTCATGGGATAATTAAGGAATCTATATGTACCTTAACATCATAACATTTTGAAAAACATTCATTGTTTTTATGATTGAAATATATATTTCCAAGTCATCATACTATATTTTGACTGTATATCTAATTATCGAGTATGTTTTATTGTATTCATTATTGTCTTAGCATTTTGAATTTCCACCATTACATAGTTATGACATGCCTCGACAGGTGACTATTCATTGTATGATTATGAATATATTCAACCTTAATGAAGATTGATTTTAGTGCACGGCTTACTAGCTCATGTTTATACAATATGCACATTCTAATCCTTGCTTTACTGCTATACAAAAGATACAAAACCTTTTAATAAACAATATCTAGGAGGCTTAACAATTCCAAGATTTTCTAACCTAAGTGCAATTATTGGGTTTTTAGTGTCTCTAATGCATTTTCATTTTGTAATCTCAGTTTTGAGCTAGTCCCTTGTTGCTCAGGGTTATAAGTTCAATTTTTTTTAGCATATTCATGCATTCAAGTGAAGCCCCGGGGGATACTCCGCCAGGATTTGGGTAGGGGTGTTCCGCTGGGATTCTGAAAGGGATACCCTGTTTATGACAAAAAAACTCAAATTTGTAGACCCTGTTTATGGCAAAAGATATAATTAATTGCACTGAGTTCCTGTTTCAATTATCATGTCAGCTCGGGTATTGTTTTTTTTTTTGATGACCATAATAACCAGTTTCAGTCAATACGAAAGTAGAAACCCTGATTATGACAGGAAACTCAGGAAGAACTTGGAACTTGAGTGAAATTGCATACCTTGTTTATGACAAGAAGCTCAAAGAACTATACCCTGTTCAGCAGATCATCCCTGTATAGTCCATATATGGGAGTACCCCCCCCCCCCCCCCACCCGGGAAGTGAAGGTCCAGGGCCAAACATAACAGACGGTCAATGTACAATATCCAGCCAAAATTAGGACTTGTCCAGCCAAACACCTCTTAATAGACGGGTCCTATTGACCACTGACATTGACTGGTCACATGTTGATCAGACTGATGTGCCTGGTGATCATGTCTGGGCAATGGACAGCCATTACTGTTAGTCCTTGCCTTAAGCCCTTGGAATTTAGTTGACATCCCTGTTAGTCCTTGCCTTAAGCCCTTGGAATTTAGTTGACATCCCATAATCAGCCATGCATATAGAACATATAAGCTACTATTTCAAACAACAAAGGACTGACATACTGTATATATTACTTGAAATAAACTTAAATTTTTACTTTCTCTCATTTGCATAACTTTATTGGAAATACTGTACCCATTCCTCATAATATTGTTTATTTTAGGGGGTAGGCGGATGGGGGAGGAACATACAAAGGCTAGTTTATATAGAGGGTTGTACCCAGGTCACAATTTTAGTTTCCATTGAAAAACAGCAGATCCCTACCTCACTTGCAAAAATTAAAGAACAACCATAATGATAATAATAATAATAATAATAATAATAATGATATAATAATAATAATAATAAGTGAGTTACAGTAGACCATGTCAGCTCTTACAGTTATGACCATAAATTTGTTTTAATATTTAATTAAGTGTCTCTAACTTCCTCAGGGTTTAACCTATTTATGCTGTTTGCGGAAAAGGCATACTGACCAGTGATTAATTTTTAAAGAGTTCTAGTTCATTATTATTTTTTAAAAGAAAATTACAGAAAGCACAATATATATATGGAGCACCTTTGTGCTGGCAGCTGAAAATAATTAAATGACTACCCTAGAGAATAAAATTACTATTGATTTTGCATGTAAATATTTTCTATGATTATGCAATTAAGGTGATGTCAAAAAAATTTTTTACGCTTTTTAGTTGCAGATTTGGGATACTGCAGGACAAGAACGATTTCGTTCAATTACACAAAGTTATTATCACAATGCTGATGGTGTTATAATAACATACGACATCACAAATGAGAAATCTTTTGAGAGTGTACCACAATGGAGTGACGATGCTAACAGATACACCAGTAAAGAGGTATTAATGGCAATTGTGGGAAATAAAAGTGACTTGGCAAACACTAGCCGAAAAGTAAACTTTAAATGTGCTGAAGAACTGGCTCAGAAAGAGAACACTGTGGCCTTGGAAACATCGGCAAAAGAGGCCAACAATGTGGATCTTCTTTTCATGAGTCTAGCAACTCATCTTAAAAGAAATGTAAAAAGCGAAGACAGGTTTGAGGGACGAACTGAACGAGACACATCCAAAGATGGACTCATAAATGGTATTAGCCTCAGTCGACATAATATCTATCCCAGAGGACCCATATCATGTTGCAGGGTATAAAATCATATCAGAGGCATTATAATTGCACTCAAGTGCCTGGCGTTTTAATACTCTTCATATATAGTCTAGTTTTGTAGTTTTAAAATATAAATTTCACACAACAGAGGGTATTGTTATAATATGTCATTTATTATAGTCATGAACGCATACACATATATATGTATACATACTGACAGTTTTCTACTGCTACAGATTGCATTAAAAGGAGTTACTCCTAAAAGAGTAATAATTTCATTGAGAAAAAGTTCTGTATCCTTTGGCATAGTGTGTATATGTGATTTCTATTCTTCGCCAGTTCCTCTATCAATGCTACATGGTTATAATGATGTTTGTGATGAAGTATCTCAGTCATTACATGTCAATCATTTGGCAAAGTGTTAATTTTTCCCTAATTTTAGACACGTTTTTATTTATCATATGAAGATCTTAAAATTTTTAATTTAGGTTACGCTTGAATACAAAAAATAGATATTTATTTGATTAATCTATATTTTTGTTTTATTTTAATTTTATTTCAATTAAAATTATATACAATAGATGGTAAGCTTACTTTAAATTATTTAACTTGTGCAGTTTTTGTTTCGTTTAATAAAATCAATCAAAGAAAGAGAAAGATTTATATATACAAGTTTAATTATGAAGATTTGAGGAAAATAGAAAATGAAAAGCAGAGAGGTTATGTATTTAGTACAGTATCTCCAAGTATGTTTGATAGTTTGAATTTAAGCTTATCGAGATTTTTTACTCCTTAAAGTGAAATGTGACATATTTTTAGAGCATATTCAGATCTTTAATGACACAAAATAACTTTAAATTCAAAGAGCATTGTTATTGCTCAAATTGTACATAAGTATTTACTACAGTAACTGTTAATATTCCAACAATCTTATTATTAAAAATCTAAGCTTAAAGTGTTAAGGTTGTAGAAAAGGAATCGATGAGGTGATATTAATAAAGGAATGATTTGAAAAAGGGATTCTTCAATATTTTGATTGTAAAGTTGTAATAATATTAATACTTACAGTTTCTTTAGTGAGGTTTTTGGGCAAGTCAACCTGTAAAACTGGTCAAGTTGATCTTAATCTCTTTATCTCATGATCTTTCCAGCTTTGTCCGTCTTCGTCTTCATGAGCTCATTCATTTTCATGCATCGACTCTTAAAAAGGCAAGGCAAAAAATCCAGGCGCCCGGAATTATGACTCCAGTACTTTAGCTAATTTTAGAGATCAGCATTCAATAAATGGATCTGCGCATAGTTCTTGGTGTAGATCAACTGAATTGAAGCGCAGGCTCTGGGCTACACATTACTACCACCACCGGGGTCGGGACATAATTTTGTTCAATCAAGATAAGAAACCCCTGAAAAATTATCGCACGATCTCGAGTACAATTCGGAATTTATAGATACTCGTGATGTTTTGAAAGTTTTCAAAACTGGACGAGTCTTTAGACGAGTCCAATTTGAGATCTTTCAAAACATCACGAGTATCTGTATATTCCGAATTGTACGAGATTGTGCAATCAGAATCGAGTAATTTTGTTGAGTGTACTCAAAAGGTGAATAAAAAGGCATGAATTTTACTTTAATCATACGGGATTGAATATATTTAAAAAAAGGATTTCCGCAATCCCAGCCCACTATGAAAAATATGTTAGACTCTATACAAGCAATGCCCCTCACTGAGTACATAATTGTTTTTCAGTATAAGTTTATTATCACATGAACGACCCTATAAACATGTTAATTGGATATTATATTCTTTGTGAAACTATCTACTATATAACCATGTTCTTTTAGTCGTTGCATTTATCTTACATGTGTAGTTTATCGCATGCAGCTAAATTAAAAGATATTTAACGTATATTTTCAAGGCAAATGCGAGAAAATGGTCACGATGTGAACGAAATATCTGCATAAAATGGAATAACTTGAAAGCCTCTCCGGCATTCGCTTATGTCGAGCTCCGATAAGCGATACAATCTTTGGACCAATTTGAACATTAGGTTTAAACCTAATTAGGACGTCTGGATTTTTGGGTATTATCAATCGAAGCTCATACGAACTCAGCGGGCCGTTGGAAATTTGATTGACAGAAACTAAGACACCATATATCTTGAGCAAGAGATTACGAAGCAACTTACTTCATATTCTCTTGATCTGGAGCTATAGCTAGTGGTCTGGGTCCCGTAAAGTTGTACACAAAATGTGTTTATTTGAGCGGAAAATAGCGTGAAAATAGCGGGTTTTTTTTCTTTAAAAAAATTAACCTCTCGTCATCAAATAGCTGAGTTGCAACTGGTATTTACTGTAAATCAGTCGCGACTGGTATATTGACTGCTATTTCAATGGGGGGGAAACGACACTTTTGAGAAAATTTTTAGGGCAAACATTTATATTGACTAACTAAAAGACCAGCGCGCTAGCTAGCGGTTCTAACTCGAGAATATCTTCATTAGATTGTTTTGTACATATTGTGACTACTGAGACAGAACCGGTGGAGCTTCCATGAATGATGAGTTCATATTTTGTCAGTGTTGATATTTCGTTTTTTGAAATAAACAAATGAACTGTTTCGTGTTGCTTCAGTTTGAATATGGCATATATTTTGTTTCGTGTGTTTTATAGTTTTGCAAGCCGTTGAAACTTTTCAAACGATAGCATTCAATGTCCTTTCGGGCCTTCGATGAAATCGCAATTAACCCCCAGGTGGAAGGGCCAGTTCTTCTTGTACAGTAAGTAGCGTTCAACCACATCACAAGATCGTTGTTCTTGACGTCTCAGTATCATTTAGTACATTCACATACCGAGGATTCTTCAGAGCCATTTCATATTCACCCGGCATTTTGATTTTAGATTTTCTCTCTCCCTCACTCGAGCCCTTAATCATAGAATTACTTTCTTTCGACAAATCATGATCAGGTATTTCCGAATAGTCATGAGGATCGTCGATGTCTACGTAAGGCTTTTCGTCGTCCTCTTTTTGAGGCGCTTTGGACGGTACAACATCCGAAGGCAGTAGATAACCATCCTCCTCCTTGTTGAGATTCTCATCTTCGACATTATCTAGCTCGAGGTATGCCTCTCGTCCCTGGAAGATGAAAATGTCACCATTATACAATGAATGATGCGATGAAAATCAAAACAAAACGACTTTTTTGGGGGGGGCTCGAGAAAATTTGCTAAATAACACGAAAACAGGAAGATTAACAGCGAAAATAGTACAAAACGTTAACGTTTGTTATAACGGACATGCCTTGGTTTTTCTATATTTTCTTACGGGTGAGGACACACGATGCATTCAAGCTACGAAGTTGCATCATGCGTCCTTCTCGGCGACCGCTGTGCGCAACGATGAAAGCAACGATGCAGAGGTAGAATTGACATATACTTATAAAACGTTGTGCGCCTGCGCGTTACCACAACCTACAGAGGTTGCGCGCAACGTTATAGCAAAGTAGAATCGAGATCTACTTCTGTAACGGTGCGTGCAACAAGTTTCATAGCGCATTTTATCACAACCTACAGAGGATGCGCACAAAACGTTTTCATCGTGTCAACGTGACCTGCAATGTTGCTGCCAATGACGTGATATTCTCATTCTCAGCCAATCAAATCCGACTTTTTTACGTACCATTTGCTCGAATTCTGCAGTGCGCGAATAGCTTTCCTTCGCATCAACGTTGCAGGTCCTGTTCGCACGATAAAACGAATTGGCGCGCAATTGCAACAGTTTAACAGCGTCGCCTTTATGGTCGTTTAGCTCGCTTCTGTTCAGTTGGAAACAACATTGAATGTGTGAATTGTAATTTAAATTCAATTGTAATACGAGTTTTACAAAAAATACAAGCTTGTTTTTCACAAGATGAGTGTTATTAACCTACCATAGCGGGTATGTTAATCTCGATAATCTTGTCGAGTTTCAAGACAATTTCTTTAAACGTTGGTCTGTCGTCCGGATCGTGCATCCAGCATTCGTTCATCAAGGCATAACTGCAACACATAACATCAATATAGAAAGTGAACATCTATTTACAAAACGCAGTCGCATTCCATGTATTTTTGAGTAAAATCCAAGTAAATAATAAAGGGGAAGCTGTAGTTTAAAACGCTTTGCAGAGACAAGTTTGTGCTCAGCACCGTTAAGGCATTGCTCTTTTGAGGAAGTGATGGAAAATCAGTTATTTATTCATATCTTTGACAGTTTACTATGAATCTTTCCCAAATTTGGCTCGTAGTAGTAATTCCTCAAGGCAAGCAATTACCGCATATCTGTTACCATGGAAACCAGGACACGTGACCACAAGGCCGCCATCTTGGATTTTTTTAAAAAATCGTTTGTAATCGTATTGAAACTACTTCAAAAGTCCTGAAAATCCATATTCCTTTTGATATTTGCAATACCTATATGGATCCTTCTTTTCACAAAAGACATTAACTTGCCAAGTTTGGGGAAGATTCGTAGAAAACTGGCTATGATATAGCTAATCAGTTTTTCATCTGAGAGCCATGCCTTAATGATGCTGAGTGGCAGGAACAACACAATCGTTTCACGTAAGAAAGAATCCAATTCCCAAGAGTAATGGGATTTTATATTTCTGCCATCTAACCACAGGCAGCCCAAGCTGTATTATGGGATGGGCACGTGATAGTGCAAAACCTCTATATGATCCACAGGTTATCTTTCACAGGACCATGCCTGTACTTATGAAAATGGATGTATGGGAAGGAAAGTCTTACATCTCGTCTGGACAGTTGACTGGTTTTGCCATGCGTTTTCCCTCCACAAGAAACTCATAGACTTCAGTTGGATGAAGGTCAGGATAAGGACTGCCGCCTGGACAATTGGAAAATATTAAGAGATTAAAAACAAGAGAATTGACTGGCTGTCGACCTCTCAGCAGGGCCAGTTTTTAAACTAAGCTATTACCGTTAGGTTACAACCATACAGGACCATACAGCTATTTAAAGGTTGGTAAAGGTTTTGTCTTATTTCTTTTATCTCGTTTTTTGATATATCTATATGCCAAGCCCGAAATGCACTATGGACGATGAGAATACAATGAGAGAAACGTCACGACAATAGCGTCACAACGTTGCACTGTCTGCACGTATTCTAAGGAATTCTTTCTTTTGTTCTGATGTTATTCACAATGGTATGCAAAATGCAATATGCAACCAAAACTTTCATTGACCTTTTTTGAAACCCTGCCCATAGGGAGATTATAATCAGCCCATGAAAATTCGAATAAGATTACAAAAACAACGCTTCAAAACCAAGAATATTTTCAAAAGTGCAAAACCGAATTAGCTTACCAAGCGTAAAAATCTCCCAAAGAATAACTCCAAACGACCAACTAGAAGATAAAAATGAATGGGTTATAAAAATTGATAATGATATGGAAGTCAGTTCCATTTACTCATGCAATATCGCGTATAATGATAACAGAGGATGGTGGCGCACAACCAGCGCTATAAGATATAATATCTTTGGATACTCACACGTCGCTTTTTTGGGAATAAACTTTGTCTATGAGAGACTCTAGGGCCATCCATTTTATTGGCACTAAACCCTGTAAAAATTTTAAAACATGAATCAGCATCATGACTGTGAGTTCTACTAAGTACCGTGGATAAAGATAACAAGATTATTGATGGGTTGCAAGCATTCCCAAAAGAGTCAAAAGACAAAAACATGGCGGCCATTGTGGTGCCGTTAACAATGGATGCTAAGGAGTAATCTTTTGTTAAATGGCACCAACATGGCCGCGATGACGTAACGTGCAATCGAAGAATAAAGGAAGTGTGCCGGAGAGAATATGCTTTGGAGGATGCAACCAAACAAGATCACTTTGATACCAAAGTTTTTTTAAGTACATGCATATTCATTCATATTACAAAGTTATTCCTTACCGGAGTTTGTTTGACGTATTCTTCATTCTTGTACACATCTCTAGCCAAACCAAAGTCTGCCACCTTCATGACGTAGTTCTCTCCTACCAGGACATTCCTGGCTGCCAGATCACGATGAATACACTAAAAACAGAAGACAAGACATCAACATCATCTTTCTGAAGTATACAGGAAGTAACTGGTCCATATCCTAGCATCGCATGGAACTGTGGGGTTGAAAATATATATTACTTACCCGTCTTGATGTTAAGAAGTCCATTCCTCTCGCGACCTGATAAGCCGTACTCACTAGCTCAGTCAAAGAGAACTGGGTTTTTGGATCATCTGTGGGGGGTTCCCAGATGGGCTCGTGAAAATCACGCTTTTCTTTCAAGTAATGTAACAGGTCACCATGGGGACAGTACTCCATGATAACCCACAGGTCCTGCTTAGGGCCTACAGGAGACGATGAATGGTAATGATGTTACATAAAGAAATAAAGGAGGCACAAGGTAGGAAGCAAGCAAGCAAGGGAGCAAGCAAGCAAAGACCCAAGAAAGAAAGCAAGCAAGAAAGGAAGGGTGACAGAAAGGAAGGAAACAAGCAAGCAGCAAGCAAGCATAAAACCAAGAAAGGAAACAAGGAAGCAAGGAAGCAAGGAAGCAAGGAAGCAAGGAAGC